AAATCCAATGAGCTAACCTAAATTTACAATAACTGTAAATAACTTCAGCCCATATGAAGGGAATTCTAGCTGTTTTAGAACAGCTCTTGAGTCCTTTTGCTGTGTTCATTGGAGCACGGAATTATAATCTGTCTCATTTACTTGTACGTTTGCTCAGACCCTCCTTACAAGTTTAATTTTACTGCCATTGAAGTCAACAAGAACAGCCTTGACTCCAGCTGGAATTTAGCCAGGCCATAGTCATTTCTAGCCAGGTCTCGTTGTAATACCCACTTCAAACAGGGATGATTTCCAACGTGTGAGAACTCACCAGTACTTTTCTTGCAGCTACACCAACAAAGCTGATTGCAGAGTCTAACACTCCCTTGCCAAGAACACCAAGCGCACAGCAGGATTTATCTGTGCATAGACTCAGTCAACCTACTGCTCTTCAGGTAACCTCACAAAAAGTCATCAGAATAGGCAGACTGTATAAAGCGTGTGACATATGCAGCTTTACAATTAAAACCTACTTACACAAAAGCCATGGCATTAAAAGAAACCTAAAATTTAATGGACCCAAACCTGTAAATAAAGTTTAGCTTAGTTTTTTGTTTTGTTTTGTTTTTAACCTAGGTTTCTTTGCCTTCTCAGCCTCCATGTGAGCTTCTCCCACAGCAGTTGCTGCCTCAAGCAACTCTGCAAAATCAGCCTGCACCTCTGGCACAGGTTAGTCGGAGATTTGGAAGTGGAATAGGTCACTTTATTATCTCCTGATATTTTCTCCTTTTGGGGCTTTTAGGCTACTTCTTTAGTAGCTAAAATCCCCAAATCCATCAGCTCACAAAAGCTTAAAATATTGTGGGAAAGCAATCTTGAGTTGTACACTTGTGTGTTAAACATATATCTGCATACAGGCATTCAGAGCAGAAGCCCAGGTGCATGTAGGTTCAGGTACACACACACATCTGTTTCACAGGAGGACAAAAAAGAGATGTAAGAAGAGTTCTTAACTTTGCTTCTACAAGTCCCATCAAAATCAAAGACACAATGAGAATTAAAACCAAAAACTAACAAAGACACCTAACCAGCAGTAAAGGACACGCAAGTTCAAAAAAATCCATTTTGTGAGTGTGTCAGTAATGGTGAAGACGCCACTGGAATGTTTCCTCCAGTGAAATCTATTAACCCGTATCTCAAAAGCGGGTGATGGCCCAAAAAGCCATCTCAGTGTTTCATTTGCAGTAGATTTTGAAGGAACAAATTCGAGTACCATGTTCCCATCACATTGTTTCTCTCCTGTGGTCATGCTGTGATGATACACCCCCTCACCCTCCGATTTTAGAAATTACAGAGTATTCCTGGACCTAGGCTGCTTCTACCATTAGTACCCTGTACTCCCTCACAAGATCCTACAGTTTCTTCCTGTAGCAGGTAAAACACATAAAGTCCTGAGGATCTCTGCTTTAAAATAACAAATCCTCATTTATCTTCTATGCTTAATATTCTTTTTACGACTGCACACCAGCATGCGGCGAAGAAACAGCATATCAATTATCTGCTCTGAGCATTCATTTTCTTTTACAGATATTTCTCTCCGTTATTCATTAATGCACTTCCAAACATCAATTAGTTTATTATAAACCCGCGCATGTTTTGTTTGACATTTTTCTACCTCCCTTTCTTCTCCATCAAAGCTCTTTGTGAAGAGATGCTTTCCAGTCGTTTACCGAGAGCCTCGCTGCCTTGCCCCTTCCCAGTAAAACGCTCTTACTGGCACGCCAGTTCCATTTCTTTTCTGTCAAATCAGAGCGCCGTCCAGTTGCACGGCCACTGGTTCAGCCTCTTTGGGCCAGCTCAGTCTCAGTGAAAGGAAGAGGGTGGACTCGAGTCTGTCTACACGGGCAGCCCTCTGGCAGCCCTCTTCTCGACCAGCAGCAGAGTCACAACAATGCTCCTGGCAAAGCTCAAGATGGAGCTTGATGTGGAGCAGGGAAATAACACCAGGACGTTGCAGCTCAGGTTGCTGATGCTCACACCCCATAGTGATACTCCTGGGAAAAGTATCAAATCTCCACACACTTGGGTGATTTGCATAAACTATTATGAAAATTATGAAACTATTCTTGTACCGCCCACCTTAAAATAACAAACATGTTGGCCTACAGTAAGATAATCCATTATTTAAAAGACAAGGTGCCTGCAGCACTAAGCGAGTGACGGACCCAGGTACGCGTGCTTCCCCCCATGAACATTTCCTCGGTTTCCTAGTTGACTGTTTTGCCACAGTTTCGTGGCAGAACAGAAGCTCATCGCTTTTAGAAATAGCGTGGCCAGGCGCCCCGCTGCCAGCCCATGAGGAGACCTCATCGCTCTCTACAACTACCTGAAAGGGAGTTGTGGCGAGGTGGGTGTTGGTCTCTTCTCCCAAGTAACTAGCAATAGGATGAGAGGAAATGGCCTCAAGTTGCACCAGGGGAGGTTTAAACTAGGTGTTAGGAAAAAGTTCTTTACTGAGAGAGTGGTCAAGCATTGGCACAGGCTGCCCAGGGAGGTGGTGGAGTCACCATCACTGGAAGTGTTCAAAAAATGTGTGGAGGTGGCACTCTGGGACATGGCTTAGTGGGCATGGTGGTCTTGGGTTGACGGTTGGACTTGATGATCTTAAAGGTCTTTTCCAACCTTAACGATTCTGTGATTCTGTGAGAAGGAGCCACGCAGGTTGCTCCCTGCTGCCTTTCTGCTGCTTGCCCCCAGCGGAAGGTGACCGATGGCAGAAGCGGAAAGGAGCAGTGTGCCGAGCCTGGCCATGCAGGGCCCCAGCATTCTGACAGGCGTCCTTGCAGCTAACATTCAGCTACGGGGCAGCAGCGGCAGGGAAGGACATTTTAAGCAGCCACGACCACATCTGCAGCGAGCAGCTAGCTCCCACCTCAGGCACCATCTGCTTGAACTTTGATTAGTTTTATCTCGAGCGAAGGCTGCAATGGTTTTGTCTCTGCCGATACGTGGTTTTAGCTTCTGCCTTGCTTGTCTGAATGACCAGCCAGCACAGTATTAGATATCGCCTGAATGTAAACGGTTTACTTTAAACCAAGTGCTCCCTATTAGAATATTTATTTGTTTGCCTTCCTCGTTGTAATAAATTAAAATCCACTACAACACAGCAGATGTTGATGACTGAATAATAATTAGCACTAATAATCCGTCTGGGATTGCGCAGGTGTTATTCAGAAGACAGAAAGAATGAACAAGTTGTTCGGTGAGCTGCACAACTCATGAAACCTGGTTTCCCAGGGGCTGCACCTTGCAGGGCTGGTGCACGGACCCAGCCTTTCCTGCAGGAGGAAGGGACAAGTGGATCTCTCTCCTTTGCTCAGCTAAAGCTTTCAAGAAATTACAGCAACCTGGTATTTCTGAGACTCTCACAACTCTGTTGCATGTCTCTAGCATTGGCCAGAAGGATTGAAAGTTGGAAGGTAGACAGAAAACAAAGGCTTAAAGGAAACCAAACTAAAAAAGAAACAGGGTCTCTTTTCTTTACCCAGCTACTTATTGTCATGAAACTTGTAGGAACAGAATGTCTTCGAAGTGTCCATCTCTGTTCATCCTGTCTGAAATGGGGGACCATCCTAACAGACACAGGGGCCATAGGTGCCCTCCCCTGGCTGCAGCCCCCAGCACCTGGAGAGGGAGAGTAACCCTGGCACCTGGGGTGGCACTCGATGGAGAGAAACGCCCCTCCTCAGGCATGGTCCACCTGGCCTCTTCCAGATGTCCATGCTGGCGGAGAGGAGTTGCAGCCCAGAAGTGCTGGTCCCTCTCCCTGGGCTGTACAGCCTATCTGGACCATCAGCGCTGCTGCAGTGAGCTCGTCCCTACCAGAACATCTGCTGGCATGATCCCAAAAGCATCACTTTGTTTCTTTGTTTGTTTTTAAGAAACCAGACTAAAATTACTGCTGTGGGGTTTTTTGTTTTGTTTTGGGGTTTTTTTTGTCTGCATTAACAAACCTTGATTAAACTGGTGCAATTATAGATTAAACTGGTGCAGGGGGGTTGGACTAGATGACCTTTAAAGGTCCGTTCCAACCCAAACTACTCTATGATTCCATGATAGATATCTCACAGGTGTAGTCTTCGATATTTGACTGTATCTGGAAAGCTGGCACTTTTCTGTGTGTAACATGCATTTTTCTGAGGATCCTACAGACATTTGTAAATACCTAAGTGAGATGAAGAGCAACTTCATCTGATGCCAATGGCAGAGTTAAAGCTGTGCAGTGTTTTCTGTGGAGCATTTTAACTCAAAAGAGCTTAACTCAAGCTCTTTTAATTTATTATACAATTAGAGATTTCTCCCCTAATTAGTAGAGCGGTTAATGATCTTGAGATAAATACTCTCTGGTGCAGGTCAGTTGCTGTTAGTGTCTCACTGTACAAAAACAATAGAAGCTCTGTAATCACAGGGGTCATGGCTAGAGTTATCAACAGATTTGGGGGCTAGAGTGGGAAAGGGAAAAAAGCAAAAGAGAAAGTTCCTTGTCTTCTTCTGTAATGGCTTTTCACTCTAGTGTACCAGCTAAGTGTTGTTTTTAAGTGTATTAATGCATAAAGCACATGAAAAAGAGAATAAAAAGACAATACTAGATGAATATGCTAAATACAAGAAGGTGCTGAAAAAAAATTAAGGAATAATAATTTTAAATCAACAGTAATATGTTTTTGCATGCAAATTTGCAAAGCAAATTCAAGTTTGAAACTAAGGCCTGGAAATGGATTTTGTTTCTTATTGAAGTAGAAAATTACTATAAAATTATCTGTTACAAAATTCCTTACATTTATTAATTGATGAAAAGTCAAAGAGTTCGCACATTAATAAAAAGTCTGCCATCAGCAAGCTGGGCAGTTAAAATGAAGCTTTTGGCTAAAATTGGTTTTAATTCTTTTCTGATAAGGACCCTTTTAAGACTTAAGAGTAGTCCTCACTAGCAGAGTTCCTAGAAGAGAGAATTAGGTTGCAAGACTTGTCCTTTTAAAAAATCCTTCTGCACAGACCCAGGCTAACGCAGGAATTAGCTGCATCTGATCTGAGCAAGCCGTTGCTACATAACAGCATTCCGCTCCTAAAATCGGGGTACCTGGGATTCTTCAGAAACATGGAGTCAAGCTACAACAAGCAGCACCAAACGCCCCTTTGAGGCCCTTGTCCTTGTTCCCAAACATCAGCGGCTTCCATGCATCCGTTCCTCGGGTAATACTTTATACAGGGACCAGAAGAAGAGAGAGACCCCGCTCTGACTTCTCCCCTGCAACGCCAATTAGGAGTAGCACAGGCTTCCCTTCGGGAGCTTTGACGCCATTTTTCTGCTCTGGGGCAGGACCGGGTTGCAGAGGACAGCACTGCTGTTTGCGGGCAAAAGCGCCGTGGGTCGCGGCACCGGAGGCCAAGGGCTCACCTTGGGTGGACGGCGCAAGCTGCGAGCGCTCGCAGGCGGCTCTGCCACCGCAGCGGGCTCTGCGGGCCTCCGCCGGCCGCAACGGTGCCTGCCACCGGAGCAGCCCTCTCTCCCCCTAAGCAGGGCTGGCCATGAACCTCCCCTCCACCTCGCCACCCCTCTTTGAGCAGCCAGCACCTCCCGGCTTGTGCGGGAAAGCTGCCCTCCACCTGGTGACTAGAAATAAACCCTCTGAAGTTCTCGTCCTTTCTCACCTCAAGGCCGTTTACTTGGAGATTTCAGCTTTGCTAGAGGGAATGTAAAGGTACTTTCACATATTTAACTGGTTTAAGGCAAAGTGGTTAGCTGATACAAATCTGACCTGTCACATTTCGATCTCTCTAAGTAGCCAGAAATTTCATTTAACTGTACAGTGTTGCTAGCAGCAGAGCCCTCCTTAATTCCCTTCTTGTCACCATTTTTGTTTTCCTATTCAAAAGGCAGAAACGGCGTAAGCCAGTGCACCTCCATGGAGCAGGAAGGCTCCAGCAGCGTGCATCAGTTCTCCCACTAGCACAGAGCCACTGGAACAACCACAGGAACAGGGCACACAACACCATCACAGCAAAATTATTATTTTTCTTTTGCCTGGACACTCACAGCACCACATATTTTCAGAGAGGTGTTGGATGCCTTGATTACAGAAAAGCTTACAGATTTTTTGAAGTTTTTTTTTTTTTTCCAAAGACTGTTTTTTACTGTTGGAATATGAGCTCATGCAGAGCAACTCTTCCAAAGCCTATTAAACTAATAATTAACTTTGGTGGACTTTGCATCATACCAGAGAACACCAAACAAAACTAAAAATTTTTTGCTGTGTTAGTCCCCTCCACACTTCTTGAATGATTCCACTTTGTGCCAGGTATTGCTGCTACTAGAGGTTGCACTTTCTTCTTGACCTTGATTAGTGATCTCCATTTTATATTATTGTTTAGAATAGCCTTTCTCCCACTGAGCTGAGAGAAATAACGTCATTTTACAACACATATAAAAATAACTTAATGAGTATTCTTGTAGCTTGACTACTACTCAACTGTAGAAATCTAGAAAATGTTTATTGTGGTCAGCTGTTGCGTGATGCTATAGTAAGTCATCAGCAGAATAAACCATTGCAGCACTGCTATCTCTGTGCAGAAAAAGGAAAGCATTAGTAAAACACGTCCAGAATATACAGTTATGACACACTAAGGGCTTCAAAGTACAGGCTAATAAAAATAATGCACTCATTTGCCATCCAGTTAAGATGCTCTTGATATTTTAAAGTAGCATACTCTCAAAAACAGTCCTTCTGATAATTCCCTAGCAGAACAGGGTCAGCTGTAAGCAGATCACTCTAACTGAGGCAATTTAATATATGTGCGTAAAATTGAAAATAGACAAGATTTATCTCTGCCTAGATGTTAGTATATTACAAACATGTCTTTTATTCCTTTGGCTGCACTTTACAATCAAGAAACCAATAACTTCTTACAGAACAATGTTCTACTGAGGCCTGTTTGCATTATAATGACTGATTTTTTTCCCCTTTTTTTTTCAGTTCTCAGCACAGTTCAGCATGTTCCAGACCATCAAGGACCAGCTAGAGCAGCGGACTCGGATCCTGCAGGCCAACATCCGATGGCAGCAGGAGGAGCTCCAGAAGATACAGCAGCAGCTCTGCCTGGTCCAGGACTCCAGTGTACAGGTGTGTTACTGCTGGGAGGGGCAGAGCGAAGCATCCTCTCTCGCGTGGCCGTAGATAGGCTTGGCAACTTAAAATTAGCTCCAGGGTCCAGGAAATCTGGACATGTGGAAACCAGCTTATCTGACTGTTGCCCTCTGAAAGTCTCTTGAGTAACCTATGTCAAGAAAGATCTAAGAGCTCTCTGGAAGAAGAGAAGGAAGAAATACCTCAACCTTAGGAGGAGGAGAAGAATTTGGGTCATTTACAGTAGCATTTTAATACTTTATCTACTGAGTCTTCAGACTGAGCAGCTGTAATAGAAAAGTGTTCAAGTTCAGACTCGGCAATGATTATGTCTCTGCAGTTCATTAGCTTCCATCCAGTCACTGCTTGCTTCATGTTGGCATCACTGGTGCTCAGTATCTTGTCTGTCAAGCTCTTCCTTAGCCAACAGCCCTCCTTCAGGCAGTGATGATCTCTTTCATTCACTCCCTGTTTTCCTGACCCTACCCCAGCCTGGATACAGAGCACAAGAGATTAATTTCCTTGTCACTTTAAAAAAACCCAAACCTCTGCTGATGTTCATTTATTCACACCTGGGAGGTGTCTGAATTTGTTCTTCACTGGACCAACTTAAGCCTTTAGAGTGAAGCTGACTGAGCCTGTTCTTCTTCTGACTTTGATACCTCCTTCACAGAGCTAGAATTCACTAAGTACAGTATTTGCTTTCAATTCACCAAGTACAGTATCGGCTTTGTACTACCCCTTATGTCTACCAAAGCTCAGAAATAATAGCACGTGCGGTTCCGCACATCGAAGCACATCGCAGGTTTCACGTAATGACAAATGGAAAAATCATCCAGTTTTATGGAATTCTTCTGAACATGGGATGATTACTGTTATGTTCCTCATAATTTAACTATAAATGCCAGGTTAAATGACCCTTGCTACAAATGTTGCATTGGGGACCCACTGTGAGTATTGTAGTAACAAGATTTTTTTAGAAGACGAGCTCTATCACAGAAGCTAATGTCTCAAAGAACATTTTAAGCACAAGATGAAGACCTGGGACCTGCTGAAGTCAGCA